TTTATCTGGAATGACAAACCAGATAAAGTTAAAAGAAACACGGTGATTGGTAGCTATGAAAATGGCGGTTTGAATATGATTGATATTGAAAGTCACTTTGAATCACTAAAAGCATCATCGATGGGTAGAATCTTAGATACAGATATAGCCAGATGGCAACTTATACCTTTAAAATATTTACAAGGCTTAGGAAAAATATGCCTAGTAGTTTATATGAATATGGATTATAAGAAAGTTGATCAATCTACCTAATATTCCAAAATTTCATAAAAACGTATTAAAAAGCTGGATGAAAGTAGGAGGACAGACAGATAAACCAAAAACCTTTTACGAAATTAGAAAACAAATTATTTGGGGCAAGAACTATATTAAATTTCATAACAAAAGTCTATTTCTCAAAAATTGGATAAATGATAATTTTATTTATATAAATAATTTTTAGATGAAAATGGGAAAATAGCACAAGATGTTATTTTGCAAAAAAAGAAAATAAATCCAACTGGATAGCTGAAGTGACATTCTTAATAAACGCAATTCCAAAAGATTGGTTACAATGTCTTAGATCAGAAAATTAAACGAGTAGTAGAGTCAATGTAAAGAGACAATGTTTGTCAATAAGTGGTCATTATATTGACATTTCTTTTTTTATCAAATAAGTTATTATACATCAGACTTGTAAAGACAAAGGTTGTGAAACCGATTGGTATAAATGTATGGTTAAATGTATTACCATTAGAAACAGAATTTCATTTGAAACCATTGTACAACTTTATTTTTTACCATTTAGAAGAAAATAAATTGAAGATGTATAGATGGAAACTTTTACAAAGTAAACCTACTAAACAATATTGTTTAGATGGAAGGTAACAGACAATGATTTATGTAACAAATGCTTCACTGAAGAAGATTATCATCATTATTTCATATCATGTTCTTTTTTAAACAATTTTTGGAGAAAAATTCATGATTTATTGCACAAAGTGAATATAGAAAAAACTATTTCATTATTTCACTTTGGCTTTAACTATCTTATTTCTATTATTGGATTTTCAATTTATAAATCTTACTATGTATCTGATAAAAAAATGAAAAGACATGATGTATTTTATCTATTCATTAGAGAATTTACAAAACGAATATATTTTACAAAGAAGTTAAAAGAAGTTAAATTCTTATTTAATGTAAAATAAACATTTATTAGATTGATGTTTTTATTTATTAATATAATATAAGTGCAAATTATACTAATTCTTCATAGGGCGCTTGGACTTGTTGAAGAGAATTTAACAAGCAACTGATGGAAATAAAAAAATTTTAAAAAAGTATAAACCAGTCACAAAATTTCTCGAAAACTGCCCAAAATCACTTTGGAGTAATTGTCTGAAAAAATCTTCCTTTTTAATGAGTTCAATGCCATAACTTGGAAACGTAAAATCTAACATTTATAAAAAAATAAAAGGTAGCTTACGTCAATAGATATGAACAATTCACCACATTTTCATAAAAACTGTGCAAAGCATTTTTGAGTTATCATCCAAAAAATTGACAATTCACCTTGTATTAAATTATCAAAACCCCATAACTCGGAAACACAAAATCTTAAATTTATAAAAATCGAAAGGGAGCTCACGTCAATAGATATAAACAATTCACCAAAGTTTCATGCATATTGATTAATTTGTAAGTTATTGTCCGACATGTTCACGACGGCTGGACGGACAGAGTACTTGCAGACGGATGGACAACAGTAAACCATAATACGTCCCGTAAAAAGCTGGCGTAAAGAAATTGTTCCTCAGTCTACCTGATTTTTATCCTGTTCATATTGCTACTATATTATGAATTCTTGTCAAGTAATAAAATCATGCTCAAACCCTAAAACAAAATACAACGATTATAAATGGCCGTTAAGGAATAATATACAAAAGATTTGGTCATCGCTTGTTCAATGTAAAACAAAATGAACAAGAAAAGAATCATCACATGTAACAAGCTTTCTCGGCATTAGTACACTTACGAAAAGTTTCGATGGCCATGAAACGTTTCCTGATGGAAAACAAATATTGTTTTGTATTCAGTGGTAACTGGAGACCAGTGATACGATAAGAATAAAAATGTAGTTGATTACAGATTGCTAAATGTCGGCACTAAAGGGTTGTCCGTTTATTCATCTTGCAAAAAGCGGTAGGTGAGCTCATTTCAAATAATTAAAAAGCAACAAAAGAAAAGATAATTTTGTAGGCTTTACTGATATGACACCAGTAGTTCACAAGTAACAATCAAGTCTGATAGAAGTGGCAAAGTAATTATGCTATATATATCATAAAAAGGGCATTAGCTATGAGATAAAAACAAATTAAAATATGTGCTTTTTTGTTTAATTATTAATGAAACTGAAACATTGAAATAGTAAATAACAATTCGATTACGAAGGCAGTTTGATTCAATTTATCAAAATAAGCTAACAAAAACATTGCTGATGAATTATTCACTTGCATCTGAATAATTCGACCTCATTGAATCCATATTCTCTACTTTCAATATAACCCCTTGGCTAGAGATGTGCTTCGCATACACAAGGCGTGTTGGCTCAAGTAGGATATAAACAAAAAGTAAAATTACATAAACACTGAACTCCGCGGAAATTTCAAAACGGAAAGTCCCTAATCAAATGGCAAAATCAAAAGCTCAAACACATCAAACGAATGGATAACAACTTTCTTATTCCTGACTTGGTACAGGCATTTTCTTATGTAGAAAATGGTGGATTGAACCTGGTTTTATAGCTAGCTAAACTTCTCACTTGTATGACAGTCGCATCAAATTTCTATTATATTGACAACGATGCGTGAACAAAACAAATATACATAATAGATAAAAATGTCAATAATACAGCAGTCAGCATTGTGCTATAATCCTAATCACTAAAAAAACATACAAACATGTAACAAAGAAGCACAAAATGGCATACAGACCAAGCATATTAGTAAAAATTAAAGTCAAGAATACACAAATTTACCATAGTACAATAACACATTGACGGGATGTATAAGTGCAGGGCCAATAAACCAATAAAAACAAAAACAAAATATTTAACAATACCCCGATGCAAAAAAAGGCATATATCAAATGTAACAACCTCATTCATTGTTTTCCTATTATACGTTACTATAGATCCAACTTTATAATAAATTCATACGCTTCATAGCCAATAAAAATGATATATAATAACACATTGCAAGTCGACAGGTCGACAGCTGACGTAAGATAAGTCGACAAAATCAAATATGTATTTCATTAACACCAGAATAATGCTTAAGTGGTAAAAATTGACACGGATACAGTTGACAGGTCGACAGGGTGACAGTAAACAACTGTCGACAGGTCAGCAGTTGACAAAAACTATGAAAAGAATTTAAAAAAAAAATGATTATTGGTAATATTAGGTTGTATGACCGTCGGGAGTCTTCGAAGTTTAGCTCGATGAAGTATATACTAAGATAAACACGTAATGCTGATACATATTATCGAGTACATGTATCGTAAATTGTTTGTTTAATACTTTTGAATTTAAGGCAAATCGGTAAAAATGAATTAGGCCACATGTCCAATTGTATAAGGAATAGAGACACATAACTTGCATAAAGTGTAAAATTTAAGATTTATAAAATAAAAACATTCCTATTAAGGTTAAACCAAAATTTCAACTGTCCATTGTCTTGATCAAGATTTGTATTACTTGCTTAACATCCAGTGGCTATTATTTCATGCATATTTTGAAAAAAAAGAACTACTAACATAGGTTCTGCATGATTTGACTATCGGGATGAAGGGCGGGAAATGCAGACTGCCACTAGAAAAAAGTATAATGAATAGAGACAGCAATGTATTGCCCCTGAAATGTAGCAAAGGCTATTTATCACACACCCAATACTTGCCAGACGTATCGATGAATGTATACAACTCGCACAGCGAAACGGAGGTCAATTTTTGGTAAGGTTTAATGCCAAGGTTACGTCTGGCGTATTAAATTATAATCCTGGTACCTTTGAAAAGTATTTACAACACTGGGTCGATGCAACTACTGGTGGACGTTTCGTCCCCGAGGGTATCACCAGCCCAGTGGTCAGCACTTTGGTGTTGACATGAATATCAATTATGTGGTAATGTTTATAAATTTCCTGTTAACAAAACTTTGAATTTTTCGAAAAACTAAGGATTTTCTCATCCCAGGCATAGATTACCTTGGCCGTATTTGGCACAACTTTTTGGGATTTTGGGTCCTCAATGCTCTTCAACTTTGTACGTGTTTGGCTTCATAAGTATTTTGATCTGAGCGTCACTGATGAGTCTTATGTAGACGAAACGCACGTCTCGCGTATTAAATTATAATCCTGGTACCTTTGATAACTAATTACCATTTATCTGTACTTTATTCCTGCATGTCACGTAATGTTGTCATTTTAGCGGTATTTTTAACATGGCTATATGAGCGGGATGTTAGGCTAGTCATAAAACAAGGTTCAACCCACGATTTTGTCTTACTTAATTTCAGGAATACGGCAATTGTTAACAAATAGTCTGTTTTTATGAATTTAGGCGATTGTTTTTGTAGCAGTTCAGTTTTTCAGTTGTTCCGTTTTGTTTCCTCTTATAATTGATGTGTTTCCCTCAGTTTTGATTTGTGACCCAGATTTGTTTCAGTTAAATCGATTTATGACTATTGAACAGCGTTATACTACTACTGCCTGTATCTAATACCCTAGTCACCCTTGGTAAATTCAACCGTTTGTGTGAGGAGTTTGTTTTTTTTTTGGAAAATGAGTGAAAGCACTACATTTTAATTTCAAGTTATATTTCCATTTACTAATTACAATAAAACTAGAACTTCTATGTACTAAAATACACACCCCGTATGGTATAAGTAATGATCACTTCTGCCACTTGATAGCCTTGAAACTTGTTGTAAAAAGGTAATATTGATTTCTTTCTTTCTCCAGATATTGATGATAATAAAGTCAGCCGGAAAAGGAGAGCGATTACAACAATCGACGCAAAGGTTGATATTGATAAGAATGACGATACGAGTGAGTTTTCATCATTGATAATGCCGGACAATTTCACTACCGACACAAAGGTCAATCTGGAAAAGAATGAAGATACGAACTATAAAGCTCAGAAGGAGTCTTCATCATTGTTAATACCTGAGAATTTGATGTCTAATGTGTTTTTTAAGTCAACTGTAAATACTCCTTCGAACCCAAATGCATTGTGTGAATTATTGGACTTTGCAGGAAAAAAAGAATTTTATGCTACACACCAAGCATTTTTGACAAGTTGTGCAGTATACCTTGTAGTTGCAGATATGAAGGACGACATAAGTAAACAAGGCTTAAGTCAGTGTTTTGCCAATTTTCAGAATATTGGAGGTATGTTAGAAAAAACAAATATTGACAGTCCATTGATTGGTGGCCTTGGATTGTTTTCTGCTCATTGGTCGGGTTGTTGTCTCTTTGACACATTCACCGTTTCAAATCTCAATTTTATTTTAAACGGTTCATACATCGATTGATTTCATCTATTATAACGTATTGCGAGATATTTTAATTATTTGCTTGTTTGTAGTTCTTTAAGTTTAAGACTTGTCAATTTTAATAATTTCGTACAAGTGATTCTGAAGAGAATATATATATTACTATGTTTAGTTACCAATTACAACATCAGTTTTTGAGGCGGGATAGTTCGTCGTTGAAAACAAATCGCAAACGTCATAATTTATTGCGTTTTCTGATGTTTAAATTAATATTTTGGTATATACAACTTTTTCATGGATCAAACGATCATAGTGTTTATTAAAGATCATTGATATGTTATGCAATGCATTCAATGAAATTGAAACCGTCCCAACTCCCCGAGTGTATCACCAGCACAGAAGTCAGTACTTCTGTGTTGACTTGAGTTATCATTGATATGTTCATTATTATAAATAAACCGTTTACAAAACTTAGAATTTTTTAAATATTATCTAAGGCTGTTCTACCTAATGAATAGATTACCTTAGCTGTATTTGGCAAAACTTTTATGAATTTGTGGTCCTCAATGCTCTTCAATTTCGTACTTTATTTGACCTTTTAATAATTTTTGATTGATGAGTCTTTTGTAGACGAAACGCTCGTTTGGCGCAAATTTAAATTTTTTTATCCTGGTATCTATGATTAGTTTACATAAAACTAGTAAAGACAGCTTCAACTATTTACTAGTTTCTGGTATTATCTAGTATTCCATGTAGTTTGTACTGTCTCTCCTCATAGTCTCTCTTTAATTTAAGTTGTTCGAAGACATGAGGATTGTGACAGCTTTTCTTACTAAAACATAAACATGACATTAACATGTCTGAAAGTGTTTCAACATGTTAAATATCAGTTAGCGTAAATATGTCCTTCTGTGGCGATAACAAGAAGTCATAGAATAGTCAGACACTTTATGAGCGAGTTTAGGGAAAAGGCTAATGGAAGTAGAAAATGTTTTGAAATTTCTGATTCCCAATTGGGTTCCGTAAACGAGTGTAAATTCGTCATTGGTCGGTTAAAAACAAAACTTTACATCAAAAGAAATGATTTCAGCTTCCATATTATGAACTTTCAATTCTGTGTAGCAACCTTCCAGCAGCGGCTTCATATGTAGTATATACCCAACAGATTATTTGCATGTCCTATCATGATTTCCTTGAGTATAGAGATAGAGAGTTACTGGACACAAGGAAGCTATTTTGTAAACTAAGAGTTCCAATAGCTAAAGTTGTAACTATCCCTTCGTAAATTTACGGACGCCATCGAGATGTTGTTGACCGTTATTGAATATCCGTTTTACAGATGACGACTGATATGTTCCAATTGTTGTACCTACAATCCGGTCCACTCTTTTGCGAATGTGACCTTCCAAATAAGAATTAGCACTGGGTTTGTACTTACTTGAACAACATGACGGGTGCATGTAGTAGAGGGTATGTATACTCTTTCGGAGTTCAATTGCTCTGTCTTCAGTTTTATATAAAAAATAAGGAGAAGTGGTGTTTAAGAGAAGGAAAAATATATGTTCTACAATATGTACTCCTTTCACACTTATACAATCTTTTATAACCAAACACAAACCCAGTAAAAATGACGCGGAATGACATTTGTATTGAACATGAAGAGAGCTACGTATACATATGTATAGAGAAATTTAGATATGAATATTTTCTTATACAAAATCTTTGGTATTATGTTGCAAGTTATGTTTGAAGTAAATCATGGTTTTATTATTTATTCCTTTAATGGACATATATCAAAGTATCCTAGTTGGTCGTGGAGCATTATTTATTCAACAATATTGATATGTTTCAGAGTATATTGAATTTTGGTTTGATTCTATCCATTGTCATCGAAAAACCGACCAACCAGCTAGATATGGGCACTTCGATCCTCCGATTTTATTAGTTTTCACTGGAAAGGATAAATATAACGAGGTAATACAATTGTAGAACTGCTATCCGAGTTATGAACAAGACTGCATATATTTTATGATGGTATAATACTAAACCCCTAACGGGAGGGATTGTGCTTGATATTCATATGATGAAGACATAATCTTTCAATCAGTTTAATTGACGTCTGGAGCTGGCATGTCAGTAACTGCTAGTAGTCTGTTGTTATTTATGTATTATTGTCATTTTGTTTATTTTCTTTCGTTACCTATTCATGCTATTCTGACATCAGACTCGGACTTTTCTTAAACTGAGTTTTACTGTGCGTATTGTTTTGCGTTTGTTTTTTTCTACATCGGATAGAGGTTTAGGGGAGGGTTGAGATCTCAAAAAACATGTTTAACCCCGCCGCATTTTTGCGCCTGTCCCAAGTCAGGAGCCTCTGGCCTTTGTTAGTCTTGTATGATTTTTAATTTTAGTTTCTTGTGTATAATTCGGAGTTTAGTATGACGTCCATTATCACTGAACTAGTATACATATTTGTTTAGGGGCCAGCTGATGGATGCCTACGGGTGCGGGAGTTTCTCGCTGTATTGAAGACCCATTGGTGACCTTCGGCTGTTGTCTGCTCTATGGTCGGGTTGTTGTCTCTTTGACACATTCCCCATTTCCATTTTCAATTTTATTGAATTATTATCATCCGTTCCCGATCGGAATGTCATGAGAGAAATATTTGGCAGTGAGATCTATCCATAGAAAATAGTCATATTACCACCATAAAAAATTTTGGAAAACGCCGTAAAGTATAGTAAGTTACACAAAAGCGCTGGATTACAACTTTTAATTAAAAAAAGAAAGACAAAACCATTATTTATAATACAACAATATCGTAAAGCAATGTTGACAGATATCATCCACCGACAACAACTGGAATACAGGCTCCTTCTTTTGAACAGACGTGTTTATGAGCGCTCAACCCAACCAAAACCTTGCAAAATTGCTTTACACCACAACTAACAAACACACAAACTATCCGCTGCATAAATTGATTTGTTTGCGCTAACTTAACGTCAAGTGACAATTATTTCATGCATAATCACAAAAAAACTATTAATACAGTATGTATGTTCTGCTATATTGGACAAAAGGGATGTCGTGCGGGGACTTGTGACTGCAAATAAAATGGAATGTGAAACAAGGACATACATTTTGCCTGAAAAAGTTTACCCTAAAAGGAATTTAAGTGTTGTTGTCATGTCGTCTAAATTTTAATGCAGGTTACAATATTTTCCCCTGAGGATTGCACAACACATCTCAAGTTTGTTCTTTTTGGGGTTGATAATATTTTTTTGTGCCGATTTATCGGAAACTTGCATGATGTGTACTCGCATTGCATGGTCAACTGATATTCAATGTCCAGTGCAAAATTTGGAAAGCTGCTATAAAATGAGGTTATAAAGATAGGAACAGAAATTTAGCCAGACAACATGTTACTGTTCGGGCCCTTTAAAGAGTTGTTGCAATGGTTTTAAATGTGAAAAGAGTTCTGCCATCTTTCTACACAAGGCATCGAGGTTAACATCCCTTATCTGACTGGACGCAAATTAATACATCCTGCATAGCCGAACAAAACCCCTGCTACTGCCAGTAGGAAGAAGACACACGGTGACTATACATTATGGCCCAGTCAACTCTTAGGAGAAGTGGTAGTATTACCAATAACACAACTATTCATAAAGACAAAGCAACAAAACATTTAAAAAATAGGTCATAATACAGCCTTCAACAACGACAAAAACACATACCGTATATTAAGGTATAGAAGGTCCATACATTTTCTTCATAATTAACATATGTTCATGAGAGCTAGTTATACGTTTGAATACAGATAATATATATTGGAGGTTCATCATCTTCTGAAATTGTAATCTTAATTAATAACTATATTTAAAATGTCAAACATGATAATTGTTGATTACTTTGTATAATGTTTTGTAGGCAGATATGAAGAAGAGAGAAAAGGAACTTAATAACCAAATAGACCGAGTTCTTGGATATCAGAGCAAATATCGACACTTGCACAGATCATTTTATCTTTCAAATATCATAGATACCGACGAAGAATTTGAAAAGTTGCGATACGCAATTTACGAGACTGCAAGTAACATGGAAAATTGGGGTAAATCTTTTCCGTGTAAATGGATTCTTTTAGAACATTTGATAGAAATCAATAAAAACGATGGAACAAATGTTATTACTATGAATGACATGTTCAAACTAGCTAAACATCCTGATATCAATATTCTAAAGACAGAGGATTTGCTGTTGTTTTTGCGATTTCAGCACAATAGAGGTAACATCATTTTCTTTGAAAATGTACCGGATTTGATCATTTTAAGACCTCAATGGTTAGCAGATGCTTTCCGATGTTTAGTCTCAGATAGGTTTGATAACAGCAGATTGCACCACCGTGAGGACTGGACACTTTTTACACGACAAGGCTTAATAAGTGAAGCGTTATTAACAGAACTCTTTCAATCAAAGGATGGAAGTCGGTTTTCAGGACAGAAAAATAATTTGCATGCAGTTTTGGAAAAGCTTGATATTTTGGTCAAAATTGATAACTCAAATTATATAATGCCAAGCATGATGCCGTCTGCAAAGTATGAAGATGTATGTGAACAATTTGGCATTCTAACAGAAATTTGTAAACGGACTTCTTGGCTTTGTTTTAAATTTGAATTCCTCCCACCTTCTTTCTTAAACCATCTATCTGCCTGGTTTATCAGAAAATATGCATTAAGCAAAGTAGACAGTGGGACTGCTTTGTACCGTGGCATCTGTATATTTGACATTGATGGATCAGGTTGTGTAAAGATTCTGGTTACCATGTCGACTGATACAATTGCTCTTCAGGTTTTGGCGTTTTCCGAACAACACGAGGAATTCGGAAGCCCGTGTAGCGATATATACAGTGAAGTAACACAACTTGTTGACGATATAAAACAGAAGTATCGATTAAAAATATCTTTTAAACTCCATTTTAAATGCAGTGGTGGCTACTATTATAAAGATACATTTGAATATGAGAGATTGAAGCGTGAAACAGAGTGTTTCTGTCCTCAGCACCACACAGCACACCGATCAGAATTGTTATACCTTCCTTGGATGAAGAATGATGTATGTTTTTTTTAAACCGCATCTTTATAAATAGCTGAGACAATCATTTGTTTCCCTCAACACCTTTAACACTGTCTGGACTTTATCAACACATTCTTTACAGACTTTACTCAGCTGAAAGCTGGATTATCGCTTTATTTCTTGTTTTAATTTGTTTGCTTGGTACTTATTTGACTACGATAAATTGGGACACTCGTTTTATTCACAAATACAAATGTGTTAAAGAGTAAATTATTTTTATAATACTTAAATATCTTTTTTTCTAATTTACAATTCTACATAATTTTGGGATGTACTATATATTTGAGATAGTATCATACATTGTACTTTGTTTTTTACGACTATTTAAGGAAATCAGATTATTGGTAAGAAAGAATCATATGTGGACAATAAGTCATATTTGCTCACGGGAATCCTTTTAAGAGTTCAAGCTGTCAACCTTTGTTTATATTATAAGTGTCAAGTTTCATCAGATAAAAAGAAATTCACATCAGACTTATATATTTGAAAGTTACATGAAATAGACTCTCTAACTTATGGTTTTATTAAACATTTATTTAATAATGAATGAGTTTCTACAAGTACATGGGAGATTATCTTAGTGTTATTAACCATATTTTCGAAAGGAAATCGGTTGTTGATTTGGGGATGTACGGCAGTCGGACGGGCGGACGGGCGGGCAGGCGGCCTCCAAGCAGTGTCCGTTCGTTAACATGAAAACGCTTTGACGAATGTTTCAAGTTTATTTATGTTGTTTCCTGTGAATAAATAAATGTCAAGTTCAATTTTCACGAGTTTAGCTTTTCTCGTTGTTATAGCCCTTTTTCTAATTAATTACTCCAGTCTGTTCAAAGGGAAATAACTAATTTTTAAAAGATTTTTAAAGACATTGTATTAATGATAATTTGATTTCTCTTATTTTCTTTGGTAAATTGTTTGAATGTATTTGTGGTAGGTTTGTGTGTTATTCTGTATAAACTAATTTTCTGAATGCTATACATATAATTTTGTTTTGATGAAGTGAACTCCTTTTTTTAGATAATAATCTATTTCTATTTAAGAATACATTGTGAAGATAAAGTTGTTGACATTGATAGATAAGTTGCAGATCTATATCCGTTCGTTCGTGACAAATTAACGAAAAATATTTGGAACTATAAATTGTATTTGGTTATAACTTGAAAATAGATATACAATGGTAACATCATATATATAATCATGATCTTTTTAGAAAATAGTGGTTATTATATAATAAATCATATCTTATTTTAGAGAACTGTGTGTTTACAATTTATTCAGTTTGAGTAATTTCCATTTGAACAGAAAATTATATGGATACAATTAAACTGTGTTTCATAAATTCAATATATATAGGGTTCCTTTAAATGCTGAATCTAAACCTGTATTTGAATATTAGATTTTCAAGTTGGTCCAAAGCAGGGTCCAAAATTAAACTTTGTTTGCTTGAACAAAAAACGATTTGATGGGGTTCGTCGAAATGCTGAACCTAACCATGTATTTAGAGATTTTGGATAACGGGCTCCTTTATCAAATTGGTTAAAATTGAGGTCCAAAGGGTCCTAAATTGAACTTTTTTGTGATTTCATCAAACATTGATTTTTTTTAGGTCCTTTGATATGCTGATTCTAACGATGTACTTAGATTTTGGATATTGGACCATAATAGGTAAATGTCCAAGTTCATTTTTTTCAGATCTTTGTCCACATTCATTTTGTGTCACAAACCTATGTTGTGTCAAATATTCAATCACAATCCAAGGTCAGAGCTGTTTTAAGCTTAAATGTAGTGTGCATTCTTGCTCAACTGTTCATGGTTCGACCTGTGCAGGAAATTCTGTTTGCTGTCACTCTGACAGCCTCTTTTTAATAGTTCATATGATGGCAACAATTTTAAGATTTTTTTTAGTCTTACGGTAGTGGCTTTTATATGATGTTTTTTAGAGAGTAAAATCACAAAAATACTGAACTCCGAGGAAAATTCAAAACGGAAAGTCCCTAACCAAATGGCAAAATCAAAAGCACAAACACATCAAACGAATGGATAACAACTGTCATATTCCTGATTTGGTACAGGCATTTTCTTATGGAGTAATACAGACATTAAAGATGTTATGAGAGCCGTTATTTGACCCCTGAATTGGCCAACATTGTAAACTTTTCAAAATTATGTTTACAAATGAATATTTTTATATAATCTGTTCACTTAACTGCAGTAAGGTACCTTGTGATGTCACTATAACATCATAAACTTTACGAATTTACATATTGGACAAAATCTGCTCGTTTTACACATAGTTTTTTGGACAATATATATATGAGCAACAGATGAACCAGAAAAGATTTTGCTGTTGCTCATATCAATATATTAATGACTTAATCTGAAATTTGCTATTATTGCAGTTTTTGTGGTTTTGCACTTTATGTAATGTCAATATAGAAGAACAAATTAATAAATAAAAAACGATTTCCTACAGACTAATGCCTTATGAACATCTGGAGGATGTTACGTCTAATACTTTTCTGATTTTAAAATTAAAAGTTGTACGTTCTGTGTTCTTTTATAGGTCATGCACAGGTTACACGTACACATAGATGAGCTCACATAAGAAATGGGATTTATTAATGGAAGGATGAATAATAGTGCATTATTATCTTTACAAAGGAAAAATGACATATCAAGCATAATCGTTATCGAAAGTTCTTAGTATCGTCATTCTCTTCTTTTGATAGTCAAATGCTCATAAATTTGACCAATATGTACGTGCTTATGTATGTAATTATAGAAAACCCTAGCGAAGCAAACATACTCACTAACTTAATTCTGTCAAGTTCCCCACAAAACACAAATGGAGGAACTAGTACTGAACCCGTTATCGAGACACCAATAAGACCTGGTCGACCAAAAGGAGGAGTAACCAAGACAGTCATGATGACTTGTCGGGAACCACTAGGCATGTTTCCGGCCAGATCAGACGACAGAAATCAGTAGGAGACCTACGTTCTATAACATCTAACAAAAGACGAGGTTTCAGAAAAACTACTGCTGAAAAGTGGTTGAAGCATTAACTTGTCTTGAAGTTCTAGACCAAATTATACCTTTATTTACAGAAAAAAAAAATGTGCGAGTCAATTGATTTTTCCAGACACAAAACAATCCAGGTTCTAGCCAAATTCACTGTAGAAGAGCATATTGCACCCATGACTGAACCAATTAAAAAATTCAACCAGCTACAATAGCAGAACAAAGACCGTTGATAGCAGTACAAGCCTCAACCATCATTCCTTAAACAAAATAGTAGTTGAAAGTTTACATCGACCTAAATTGCCTATCATCCCTAACTATCGGAAACCATTTGCATTAAGAACTTTTGGACTTGCATCAATTCCATAAGGGGTTGAAGTTTGTATATAGAATGTTCAATGTATGTTTGTATTTGTATGTTTGTTTGGCTGTGTGTGAGTATGTCTTCGATGTTGATGAATGAATGCATGTTTATATACAAGTTTGTAAACTTCTGCTCTTTTCTTTTGTAAATAACCCCTTTTTTTTTGTTATACACATATTGTAAGTAAAACATAACTGAGATAATTATATTTCATTTATTAAATACACTGATTCCATACCAAATGGTAGTATATATAAATCTACTTTTTGTAGATTTTCTTGTACAGTTTACATAGTCCACTTACTTACGTTGTGTTCATACTTTGTTCTTTTTTACGACTTTGGACAGATGGTTTATCACACTGATAATGGAACATAATTGATGTCGCTTCAGGTGTATAGGCACAGTCTAGTTACCGAATGGGTAACAACCTAGAGATATATAGAGCGGCCGTAGGAATGTTTCACGCTCATACGAGAGATCAAGGAGATTTGTAAATCGCCATTCTTCCTACAGATATACTAGTAACTTACCTATGTTGTTCGTTCCTCTTTGTTGCTTTGTTGCTTTGCTCTGTCTACATAGCTAAATCCAAATCTAAATGCAGTATTTCTTGTTCATATTGAATTTTATACTTATGGTAGGTATCATTAAAACTAATCCGGGTCTGGAAAGTTCACTAAATAATACTTTAGACAATACATTCGAAGTATAAGAAACAAAATAGACATTATCCATGACTTTACTGAAGATATTGATATTCTGTTGTTAACCGAGACACATCTTGATGACCTGATTGACGATTGTACATTACAAGTAATAGCTTTTCTAAAAAGCTTGCCGTATTTTAGCTGCTTATACATGTATTGAGATCGGTGGTTTGTGGGTATAGGGTTTTTTATTGGAATCTTGCACTCCAAGCATAAGAATATATAGTGTCTTTTTTCTCCTGGTTTTTGATTTTAGTTGTAGTATTGGTGAATCAGGGTTATCATTGAAGGAGGCTTGATAGTCACATATGATAATATATATATATGGTTTGTAATAGCTAAAGTAACGATACAAACACTTTTTTGTTTGTTTTGTGGAATATGATTGTTTACTCTTTATGACAATGCAAGTAGTTTTAACATGCTGTGTCTTGACAGTTATGTAATAGTTAGCAAGGTTATAATCAAGTTGATAAGAAAAACGTATTATTTACTTTTGAGGATTACTGCTAGACAAAATGGACTACCAGTGGCAGATCTAGAAATTTTCATAAGAGGGGGCCAGCTCCAGTCATGCTTCAGTGATTCACTACATGTATATGATCAACCAAAGTTTCCCACGAAAGGGGGGGGGGGTCCCTGAAAAACTCTAAATCCGCCTCTGACTACTGTAGTTGGCCGTTCGAATATGAGAATATTACATCTTATATGTATAGAAGACAGTGGTCTCTTTAGCCCAAATAAGAAGGGCGCCGCACCCTGGGTGCCCTTAGCCACGCCCTGAGTGCCTTCAATTGCGCCCCTCTCTGACGCCTTTTTCCAAGGGGGGAGAATAGAAAGTTTATTTCGCTTCTTTTGGTTAATAGTGATCTGATGTATGAATGTGTATTGCCATGTTTTATGAACATGTAGTATGAATGACTTTTCTAAGGCAAATTTGATAGAGTAAATAATCAAAACAACAACTTATGCATCTTTATTAACAACATATACAGTAAAAAAAAAGTGAACTCGTGATACACACAGAAACGTAGACAAAAGAAATGAGAAGTGCCTTTTCCTATCATAAAAAAGTGCCCTGCCCTTCACTGGCACCCTGTCCCTTTCTATTTCTAGCTGGGGCACTTCAAGTGATGAATATCTCATCTGGCTTTTGTCTTAGAAGAAGCAATTAGTTTTGGAGGTACAGGTTAAGTGTTGTTATTACTAATTTCCAGATGTAGTATAACTGTAAGAAGATGTTTTGTGGTAATGGATTTGGAATGAAATATTAGTTGCAAATAATTTTCTAGAACATGTTGTCAGCTGGCTTCTAATTTTTTTTATTATTTTGTTGCGGTTTGTAATCTTGACATTTTTTTTAAGTTCTATAGATGAGAGCTTCATATTGGTATTATCTTTTAGTGCTTTATATTTGGTTGCATTTGTAAGCATATGCTTTTGTTAGTTGGAATATATATATTTTCATTTCTGATGGCAACAAGTTCATGTAATAGATATAGTCAGGATTATTAGTAAGCGATAGTTGTTTTGTTTGTTTATGTTTATTGTCATGATTGATATGGACTATATAACTTGCTGTTTGGTGTGAACCAAGGCTTCATGTTGAAGACCGTACTTCAACCTATAATGGTTTACTTTTACAAATTGTGACTTGGATGGAGAGTTGTCTTTGGTACTGATATGACATTCTGTTATATCTATCGACAAGATTGAGAACACTTTTTTTTGTAATAAAACATATTTAATTCTACGATATCATATTTAACAATTTATCGGTAATTTGTGCATTTTTCCTTTGATGTGTACTCTCTGATAATGTCAGTATCAGTTGACTGGTCGTGATATATAAATTATTGGGTCAGTTCGCAATTGACATGCTCAGGTGCGCTGTGTCAGGATCTTATTTCCCCTTTCATTCACAAAATCATGCATGATTTTTTTGCA